GCACACAAAACCTTACAATACACATATACTGTATAGTTGCTTGTAATTATTACGAGCAATGACATTGGTAGGGGCGTAAGTCAGTATATCTACTATTCTTTTACAAAATGGCACACCCCAGACGTTGAGACAAACCATTGTGTGAGTACTTTTACTTAAAAAAATACTTTAAAGTAAATTTAAAAGTAAGTACTTAGTACTTTCACTTAAGTAAGATTGTTGATGTAGCACTTCTACTTTTACTTGAGTACCTATTTTGTGGGATACTTGTACTTTTACTTAAGTACTAAGCTTCAGTACTTCCTCCACCACTGGTCGTCACAAATGGCTCGCTAATGCTAACAGCTCAGGAGGCTTGTTGACAGACAGCCATGTTTTCCTACTAGCTTCCCTGTACTCTGTTTACGTTCTGAGGTGATGGCAGTCGGGGGGGGGGTTCATGTTTTCTCGCTGTCCAGGAGTTTCCCGTATGAGCTGTGGGCCGTATCGAGTTACATGTGTGATTTCCAGATGGGTCGATGTGGAACAGCTGACACAAGTGTTCTCAGTAGTGTTGTGATCTCGACGTGGCCTCTGACTTTTGTGGGAGAGTCCTGGGGGTGAGTAAACAAATTTTCTGTTCCTCTTTGGCCGGGGGGGTAATCATCCCCGAAAGCAGCCAACAGTGAGGTGTGGTCTCTCTGAAGGGGCAGTTTGTGGCCCTGTAGGATGGGACTGTGTTTGAAATGTGTAAAGCGATGATATCATCGCTTTAATTTGTGGGTTTGGTGCTGATGCTGAAAATCATGGAACCTTAATATCATCCAAGAAAGTCATAGTTCCTACCGAGCCTCTCTGTATTATCAGTTTTAGCCCCACTGGCCTTTTAACCTGGATGGAGTGACGCTTGCTGAATTGAATTTATAAGGCCTTAAATGTGAGGGGTGGTGATTGGGGGGTGGTTGTCATGTGCGACAGTCACATGATTGGTTTAACCTGCTTTCTATTGGTTACACTGTTGGGCTGCACCAAGTAGTCCAGTCTACGGTGGGTTGTTTTAGTTCATAAACATTGTCTCTCTAGCCTAGTATGGAAGACATGCAAATATGCTGTTAATGGTGGTTCTGCTGGGCAGCTATTTTAAGACCCTTTAGTGAACTATGAAGTAGAGTCCACTGTTCCCTTAAATTGATTTATAAATAACAATAATCACGTGATTTCTGAACCTGTGTCTTGGTTCTGCAGCTTATAGTTCTGGTCTTGAGGTCCATGCTTGGTTTTACTGTCATTTTATCTGTGCTCTGCCTGTGTGACAAACTGGGGATCGAGGGCTTACAGCTAAGCTCTTATATAATTAAATTATTTTAAATTTTTTTACGTGCTTATACTTACGGATTGATGTCCCTGGTATTGTATATGTGGTATAAAGGTTAAAATATGCTCTAATTTCTTGTCATAACAGCGCAAATGAACATAAATTAAGTGCATTTAAACCATTAAACTGCAAATATACCTAATGATATTAGGTATATTTGTTCTGTTTATTTCTGTAAAGCGCTTTGAGTGACCTCTCTGCAGGGAAATGTGCTACATCAATAACCTGGGTGTGGACTTCTGAGCCACAGCTGCCATTTTCTTGATAAAATGAGTGTTTCCTGTAAAGCTACATCCTTCCCGGTCCTGTCGGGCACCTTTTTAATTGGGTGGCTGCTGAGTCTTAAGTGTATTGTTGTGTTTTGGCCCAGATTACTCTGCAGGGAAAATGGGGGGGGGGGGGGATCCACGATGATGCTACAGGCCGACACGGAGCGTTTAGCTGCGAGTGTGGTGACGGGCGTGAGGCTGTGAGATGCAGTGTGGGAACTCGTGTGTGGGAGTGTGGCTGCGTGTTACGTAAAACGTGCGTGTGTTTGTATGTGTGTGAATTAGGGCACACGCTTCCGGCTGGGTCAAAACCAAAGATGTCCCCACAAACACAGTGATTTGTAAAAAAACAATAAAGGTTTGTGTAGATGTCCCATTATCAAACTTGTTTGTATCACACACTGTAATCTGCTGAGGCCAAAAACAAGGTCTTCAGCTGCTCACTGAGGTTTGGAAAGTCAAAATGTGGTCCTTGTTGTAGAAATCGCCATGCCTGATGCGGTCATGGTGGGTCTGTCCCTCCTACGATCACTCCCATGATGCTTTGCTCTTATTTCCATTTGTGGGTAGTGCTGTGTGTTCAGATGTTTATGTAGGATTTTGTGCAGAATCATCGCTCATTTTCAGTGTACGACCCCCATAATGGCCCTTCTGATGTGATGTTTTCATGTCCGCTTTTATGGACAGACTTTATCTATTTTTGGTTCAGTCAGACTGATGTACAGAGTGTGTGTGTGTGTGTGTGTGTGTGGGCGGAGTCCCAGATGAGTCACACAACATCCCACTGAGTACTGTGCCATTATCTCTGAGCTCTGTCAGGCCAAAAGTGCCTTTACTGGTTTTAGAGGATGATCTTCCCGCTGACCATCTTTCCCACACAGCGTTACCATTCAGATTACTGGTGTAACAGCCGGCTCCCCACCTTGCCCTTGCGTCCGTATCCCAGAATCCTTTGCTGAGTTTGGCTGTGGTGAAGTGACGGAAAGAGCGTCAGAATATGGGGCTGGGCGTCAATCAGGACGATTGCGTCCTCCAAGGATTCGTTTGCTTGGGAACCCAACATAGACACAGATGTTATCAGAGCCACACATACATTTATTCTGGAATCCTGGAATATTTAAATTATGCCCTTAATACTCAGGTTTGAGTATAGATAGTATAAAAACCCAGAGCTGCTTTTTTCTGGTCATTGAAATTAACCCCCCCCCCCTGCCACCTGCCAGGCCCAATACACCCCTCAGGGTACCTTCAATGGTATATTCCAACAGAGTTGGCCCCCCCGGTTGTCATGGTAACGAGTCTTGGGATGGTCAGGACGGCTTGAGCTTACTGAGATGCCCCCACCCTCCCCCACAGTGTTGTCTGGCGTGAGGTTGTTCTTTTCTAGCATGTGGAGGGACACTTTACAAGGAGTGCTGGCATAACCCTGGGGTTACAGGTTTGATATGCTGTGCCTTGGAGTAAAGGTCTGGAGTAGTTACTATGTTGGGGGGGGGGGGGTTTGTTCAAGAAGGGTCCTGTTAATGAAAGAGGACAGCAGACGGATCGTTTGGCCCCTCTGGCTTGTTTTGCCTGTTTGATTTTACTCATCTCATAAGTATTGCAGCTTATTGAACGGGGTTTATGCTTCACTGGCAGAGGGAAAGCTGTGGGTGACCCCCCCCCCCCCCCCCCGTCTTGGTTGCTATGGCGATGCGATCTTTTCTTTATTGAAGAGTCTTTCTGGTACAGCACATATTTCAGTAACGGGAAATTCTCCCAGAGGATTTAATTAGGGCCACAATCCTGTGCTTCTCCCTTTTAATGTGGGATCCAAAACAAATGGAAGAAATCAGTTCTTCACCTGGGACTCATCTGTCCTCGATTTTATTGTTTGAATACATCTTACATGGGGGGGGGGGATCGCTAAAGTAAAAGCAGGGCAATGGGATGATATTCTGCAAATTTACTTTATGTGCCTCAATTATGCTGAGGTAATATATAATTAGTTGTACATGCAATGTTTTAAGTTAGAAAATTACTGTACAACGGTAACCAAAGTAGCTCCTTTCTGGTGATGTGGGTTGTATTTCATGCTGGCTTCGGCCAAACATTAAACATTCACTACCAGTCAAAAGTTTTTGCACACGCTGACATCTTCTACATTTGCATGTTGCCCATTTATCATTTACTAAATTCACTCAACATTCTTTGCTAACTTGTTTACAATATGTTCACAATTTGAGTACCTTTTATTAGCAAGGAAATGTCGTCTTTTCATTTCCAACTAACCTCCTGTAGCAGTTACAACAGCAGAGAAAATTCAAGTCATTCTTTCTACAAGGGACATCAAATACTGCCCTGTTTCTCGGTTACTCGTGCATCTAAAGATACAGGACAGCCTAGAATTTGACTACGCCATCATCACACAACCAGTTAATAGGATGTCAGACATGCACTGTTACATACTCTTTCCATGTTATAAAGGAAACTTGTTTTATTTGACTTATATTTTCATTTATTGTTCACTCAATTTTCAAACGCTTAACCAGAATTAAAAAAATCTGCAGTTTATGAAATAGATGGAAAAGTGGTAAAAACCTGTGGTGTGTAAAATCTTGACTGGTAGTGTGTGTGTTGGTAGTTTTATCTTCTACACGAGGCCCACTTCTAGAAGTTTCAGACCTCAGTGAAAAGTCCCCCTGATGTGGTGATGGTGGGTCTGTCCCACCCACTATCACTCCCATCCTGCTTTGCTATTATTTCCTGTCAAATGTAGTGCAGCAGGACAGTGCCATGATAACGACTCCTGTGTGTTTTTAGTTGTTTCTGAAGTATGTTGTGCAGGATCATCCCTCCAGCATTTCTGTACTATAATAGCTTTTGATGAAGATCTGGTTTCACGCTCTCCCCACTCCGACCTTTATGGTGTGACTCCAGCTTAAGACCCCTTCCTGGCCCTCACTGTCAGGCCGTCACGCCAGGCACAACTCTGGCGGAGCTTGACAGGTTGACAGGTTCTCCAGTTTCACCTTGCAAGATTTTCCACTGGCACTCTGGTTCCCGGCTCGGCCCTCTGGTTGAGTTGCCTTGCTAATCTAAAAAAAATAAAATAAATAAAATCCACTTAAAATTTTTTTACGTGAAACTGATGCATAAGTCAAGTAGGTGGAGGTTTCTGTTTTTGTGTTATAACCATCAACGGAAGAGTTGAATAATCTAGATTTCACAATTTTAAAATTTACTGGAATGTGTGGGAGGGGAATGGCTTAAAAATGCTAGCTGGAGTGTAAACAATGTGGCCTTATTTATGGCCAGGGATCTGGCGGTATCTTCTGGAAATCAGCATTGTTTGTGTTTAATAGCTGCTAGTTGACATGCGTGTTGCTGAATTGCAGGGTGGGGGACAGGAGGCAGACGGACCCCTATGTCATAGTCTTAGGATGGCAAGTGAAGGCTCCAGCATCCCAAGCCCTGTGGTCCGTCAGATCGACAAGCAGTTCCTGATCTGCAGCATATGCCTGGATCGCTACGACAACCCCAAAGTTCTCCCGTGTCTCCATACCTTCTGTGAGAGGTGAGGGCCGCACAGCACCTGGAGCAGGAAGGACTCGGGTGTGCTGAGTCAGGAGTCTGTGTGGTCACCGTCCTCACTGGCTGATGGTTTTTCTTTTTCTTTTTAAATCCTGATATGTGCACAGCAGGAACGGTGTAGCTAACTGTGTAACTTTGATGTTCTTCCAGGACACAGCTAGCTCCTGTCTGGTGTTTCGGTGAGAAATGAACTGGGTGGGGTGGGAGCTGGGAATGGGGGGGGTTCCAGAGCTGTGAACTTGTAGCGCTTTTCCACTGCCACCAAGAACCGTGCCGTACCGCAAACTGACAGTTTTCCATTGTATTATGCGAGTCATACCTGCGCTATCATGGCCCTGTTTACTGGCAGGGCCAAAAGCGTGACTAAACTGACCTGGTTGCGTCACCACCATCTGATTGGTTGAAATGCATGGAGATACCGGTGTTCTGCGCATGGATTATCTGAAGGAAAAAGGATATATTGTGTCTAGATATTATTCATTATTAGTAGTATTGCACATTGCAATGCATGAATGCATTCCCCATAACTTTGAACTTGAAAATTTCCAACCTCCCACTTTAAAAAAGTACCAGATGAATATAGTGGATTTGTAATGCAAATTTACGCAAGTGACTGCTAATTCCAATAGCATTCGATGCTATCATTACACGGCAATCCTCACAGACATGGTAGCAGAAAGTAGCACCCTTTTGCAGTGGAAAACCGAAGCAAGCTGGAACCGTGCTGTTACTAGGCTCTCTTCACGATACGGCTCTGTTCTCGGTGGCAGTGGAAAAGCGCCCTAGGTTGCCCATGGCAGTGTTTGCTCTGTGGTTCCTCTGTGTGAGGCGTCTCCAGTGCCGGTCAACCCTATAGGTGATATCGGCAGCCGCCTAGGGCATCATCTACTGGGAGGGTGCAGACTTGGCAAACCACTGGCCAAATGGGCTTTGTCTGGCACTGGGCATCTCTAGGTCTTTTGTGAAAGAGCGCTGTAGGCCAGAGCATTATAGAGTAACTGTTCTTAAAAAGTATCAGTAGTCTTGTTTAATGTCATAGTCTTTGAGTGGTTGATTTTTCTGGTATCTGTTGGACTGTTGTGATTTACTTCAAGATGGATCTTGAATTTTAAAACTTTGCATTTGTTTTTACTGCTTTAAGACATGTTTTATAGTCAGTTATTTTCGGTGAGTGTGAATGCTACAGGATTTAGTCTCCCTGAACCCTATTCCAGAGTAACACAGGCCTGGGGATGTGTCTCTGAGTGATGGACCGCACTGCTCCTCCCCTCGCTCCACCTCCAGGTGCCTCCAGAACTACATTCCCGCTCACAGCCTGACGTTGTCGTGCCCCGTGTGCCGCCAGACGTCAATCCTGCCCGAGAAGGGCGTGTCCGCCCTGCAGAGCAACTTCTTCATCACCAACTTGATGGATGTCCTGAGGAAGTCCCCTGACAGTGGCAGTGAGGACTGCGCGGTGCAGGAGACTGTCGCTGCCGTGGCGACGGGACAGCCCCTGTCCTGCCCCAACCACGGGAACAATGTAATACCCCTTCCCAGTCTTTAGGCATTTACACTGAAGTTCCGGAGCCTGGTCCCGGTTTACAAGTCCCTGGTCTCGATCTGGAACTTTTGTAGTTCCCGGACACTTTTCGCTTTCACACTGCACAGCAGGGACTGAGACCTTTATGCTAAATAAACATGAGGGACGACGGAAAAAGTTTGTAGGTTAAACTTCACACAGAATTTCATATGAAAATGCACTGCCTCGCCAAAACAGTGGAGGATAAATAAGCTGTTTTGTTAGTCATTGGGGGGGGATCGATTGCGATCAAAACGGGACACATCATTTTATTTATATTTTACTTGTATGCCCAACAACATGTTCATGATTGCTAGCAGATCGATCTTTTGTTTTCCACAGAATGAGTAACAATGTACCATTATCCCACTGATAAGTGCTGGCAAGTTTCACCGCCAAGTTTCACTGCCAGCACCAGCAATATTAGACAAAAGTATATTGGTTAGCGATTGAATTGTCCAATTCAGAAATATGGAGATGCAAGCAAAAAAGGTATTAATTGATTCGTTAAATGTATGTGGGGTACAAAATTAATTCCACCTACTCCAATTTCTGCTCCGCTAAATCTTTTTCCGGCACTTGGGCGGAACTTCCAGTTTGGCGCCAGTGCTTGTGTTCAACCAGTTAGCAAGCGGCCGCTATAAGCTCCTCCCCATTAGTTTGTGTTCGAACGAAAAGTACCTAGTCTGGAGTGAGTACTAAAGAAGGGTTGCAGAACTACCTCCAAGGAACTACAATCGGGCCGAGTTCCTGTGGTGTGAACACGGCGAAAGTTTCTGGTTCCAGGAAAAAGTTCTGTTGGTGTGAAAGTGCCTTTTTGAGTCCCAGCTGCCCCCATCCAGAACTGCGCAGCTTATCAGGTGCCTTGTGGGTAATACCCGCGTCTGTGCACAGCTGTTTGTTTTTTTTCTTTTTTTCTTCTATTTTTTTCATGAGCAACCATTGGATACAAGGTAGTGAGGGGCAGGACATTTACATGTATTTCTGCAGCTGCTTGTTGGATGGTGCCAGTGTAGAGGCCTGGATATGTTGACTTTTTTATTTTTATTTTTAAAGCATTGCCATATATTTTTAGCTGTTTTTTTTTGTTGTTTCCATGGCAACCAAGTCCCACTGCATCCACTTGAAATACTACCAGACCCATTAATGTATGTGTGTGTGTGTGTGTGTGTATCCAGATCTATGATCCTTTATGGCCATATTCCAGAGTAATTTTCTTGTGGCATTTTGTGTGCTTTTTGTTGACTATGAAAAGGGGTTTTGTGTCGTTCTCTTGAGTTTGAATATGTTGTGGCGCTCGCCAGGTGATGGAGTTCTACTGCCCGCCGTGCGAGACAGCCATGTGCGAGGAGTGCACCAGCGGGGAGCACGCCGAACACCCCACCGTCCCGCTGAAGGACGTGGTGGAGCAGCACAAGGCTTCGCTGCAGGACCAGCTGGACGCCGTCAAAAGCAGGTGTGGCCCCTCAACCCCACTCCAGATGTTTCTTGCCTTCCTGGTTGCTAAGCAATGATTAGTCAGGTTTTTGCATCAACATCCAGGGCAGGGAATCTCAAAAATCATATTTAAGAGGGGGGTGGGCACACTTTTCTAGACTTCAGTGTTCATTATACTGACAAGTATAATAATCGGTGCACAAGGTGAATCTTCTTTATACTATGTCAGTATGTACATATGTATTGTAGTATGTACAGTAAGACTTACAGGAGAAGCAGTGTGTGGCTCAGGGATTTGGGATGCTGTGCCTGAAATTGAAAGGTCGTTGGTTCGAATCCCAGACTCACCAGAGTGATGTCACCATTGGGCTCCCGGGACTGGTTGACCCTTGTATGTTGCTTTGGATAAAAGGGTCCGCTATATAATTTGTAATATAATGGAAGCAAAACCTAGAGACACATGGAAAAAATTGTTTTTAAAATATCCCATATGGAGCGCTTGTTTTAATTTCTAATAATCCGAAGTTCAAGTTGAGGTTTTCACCATTAAAGACCGCATGGGTTTGCGTAGCAGCAGAGCAGACTGAAGCGCGGTGCCTTGCGTTGAGCTTTGACATTCACCTCAGCGCTGTGGTATGCCGCTGGCTGCCGTTACTCCTGTGCCGGTGACAGGGAGGTGAAGGAGGAGTGGGATCCGCTGAGGCGGATGTCGCCTGACGGTGCCGCATTGACTCCCCGCTTTCAGCACTGACATCACTGATATAATTAGTCGAGCGGTTGTGACACAGCATCCGTCTGTAGGTGTTAAAAGGATCGGCGGTGTGGATTGCACTGCCTCCCTCAACCGCTAACACATAGGGCAGTGTGATAGTTTATGGCGACTTGTTTTTTTTGCTGTGACTCGGCCATGTAAATAAAGCCGATCGGATAACTCGTTCCCATATTTCCGGTGTCCTAACCTGCTGAGGTGCACAGCAGCCACCCCATCTCTCTCTCTCTCGCTCGCTCGCTCACACATGCAGTCCATGCCAGTGATGGGAACCAGTGTCCGTTGATTTGTACAGTGTGAAAGAACAGATGTACCAGCAAGCAAGTTAGGTTGAGGTTAACCACATACTCTCAGAGGTGGAGATTTCAGATCCAGAATGTACAAATCCAGACCATGATTTAGCTTCAACCAACCAGTGGAGTATTCTGTATCTGTGACTCTTTATGCGCAACTGGTTGGTTGAAGCTAAATCACGGTCTGGATTTGTACTTTCTGGACCTGAAATTTCCACCTCTGCATACTCTCTAACCGTCCCCCCCCAACAACCCACAGGCTGCCCGAGATCGACCTGGCCCTGCAGGTCATCTCCGAGATCCTGCAGCAGCTGACCAACCAGAAGTCCGCCATCGAAGAGGATATCCACTCCACCTTCGACGAACTACAGAAGACGCTCAATGTCCGGAAGAGCGTGCTGCTCATGGAGTTGGAGGTCACCTATGGGCTCAAGCAGAAGGTCAGGGGTGTGCGTGCGCGTGGTTGTGAGGCTTCGTTTAATTGCTGTTGAGACCTGGAGGCAAAACCAACCATTTGCACAGAGGTTTTTAGAACAACAAGAGCTGGGTCGTATCCCTGCACCGCCTCCTAATCAATGTCCCAGTTGGAGCTAGTCGCTCCATCTCTCTCCAGGCCTGGAACAAGGTGGGTAGACATATTGATCATGGATGTGAACAGTAGGGTTTCTTGTATACGTCATGCTGTAGGTCCTGCCGATTCTGTCATAATTGACTGTCTCTGATTTGCGTGCTGTAGGCAGAGGTGGATAATTCTTTATACTGAGCTAGTTGGTTAAAACAAAATCTTTTGTCTGGATTTGAACTTTCTGAAGCTGGGTTTTCCTCCTCTGGCTGTAGGTGCTGCAGGCCCAGTTGGACACCCTGCTGGAGGGCCAGGAGAGCATCAACAGCAGCTGCAACTTCACAGAGCAGGCGCTGAGCCAGGGCTCTGAGGCCGAGGTGTTGCTGGTCAAGAAGCAGATGAGCGAGCGTCTGGGCGAGCTGGCCAGCCTGCAGTTCCCCCTGCAGCCCGAGGAGAACGACCAGCTAGACTTCCTCATCGAGACCGAGGGCCTCAAGAAGTCCATCCACAACCTGGGCACCATAGTCACCACCAATGCTGTCGCCTTCGAGACGGTGGCCTCGGGGGAGGGGCTGCGGCAGTGCATTGTGGGTCACTCCACCTCCATCACCATAACCACCAAGGACAAGGACGGGGAGCTGTGCAAGACGGGCAACGCCATCTTGACGGCCGAGATCTGCACCCCCGACGGAAGCGTGGCGGACGGGGAGATCCTGGACAATAAGAACGGTACTTATGAGTACCTCTACACAGTACCCAGAGAGGGCAACTTCACCCTCTCCCTGCGTCTCTACGACCAGCACATCAAGGGCAGCCCCTTCAAGGTGAAGGTGACCAAGTCTGCCGACGTCTCACCTGTCGCCAATAGCAACAAGAAGCGGCTCAAGTCTCCTGGAAGCAGCCACGTCAAGCAGAGGGCTATCAGACGGCCAGACAGCATGTACAGCACCAGCAAGAGGAAGGAGAATCCTATCGAGGACGACCTGATATTCCGAATCGGTGAGTCTCGGAGGTGCCGCTTCACACGGAATACAATGGATAGGTTGTGCCAACTGATGCTGATGGGGGGGGGAGTCCTTTACAACTGGCTTGAGAAATACTGGTCTACCAACTCATCCAATACCAAAAATGTTCAGTGTTGTCTCAGTCGTTGAGAAAATGCACCTAAAATCTTTTATTTATAATATTAGTCAATTTTAACATTACTTGGAATGTATTTCAATAGTCCTTTAAATGACTGAACTTCTTTCTGTATTTCTGTTATCCTACATCTCCTAACCATCGTTAAACAAAGATCACCCCTCTGTCGTCCCTATAAGGAGGACAAACCCCTGTTACTGAAGGTTCATGTTTAATTATTGTACTGTTGACCTCGCACTCCAGGGCTGGGTGGCCAGTGCTCACCTTGACTCTGTCCATGTGAGGTTTCCTGGTTCTTCCTTCGTTTCATGTTGGTTTCTTCCTTGTTTTCTGGATTTCTTTCACTGCATCAAAGACACCTAGGTTAAGCAGTGTTGTAACTTCTGGACCTGAAATGTCACTGCCTACAAATCCAGATTTTGTTTCTACCATCCACTTGAGTATAAAGAGTCACAGTTACAGAGTACTCAACTTGTTGGTAGAAACAAAATCTTGGTCTGGATTTTATTTTTTATTTTTCCTTTCTGGACCTGAAATGCCCAACACAGAGGTTAAGTGAATTAATGTGTCCGGCTGTAGTTCATGTGTTTGTGTGTACATATCCTGAGAAGGATTGGCTTGTCCTTTGCCTTGTACTGTATACTTCCATGTTCACCGTAACACTGAACTGGGTAAGCAGTCTGAGAAAATGGATGGGTAGATGGGTAAATATTAGTCACCTGACGGGCTTGGCCAACCAGCGAGCATTCGCTGCTTTAACTGGGTATAGGACATCTAAGTGGGGAACATTGATCCCTTGAGTAGATGAGTGTGACGGGCAAGTCTCTAACATTTACACTGGTCCCTTTAAATAAGCACGTCCCTTTAAATACTCATTGACTGAAAATGTCAGGAAGGACTGTCGCTCCACTTTCTCGTTCAGTGGTGCTTGCGGTTTGCCTTTCAGGTACGAAGGGAAGGAACAAGGGGGAGTTCACGAATGTCCAGGGTGTGGCAGCCTCTTCGGTCGGAAAGATATTAATAGCAGACAGCAACAACCAGTGTATCCAGGTAAGGGAATGATATCTGTACTGATGGCGAGTCCACAGCAGAGAGCATGTTTGTCTACAAGCCAAACCTTCTCTCCCATGAGAGCTTTGTCAGCCATGTCAACGTGAAGCATAAAAATGCATCACCTTTGCTAAGATTCACATTTGGTTTCAATCTGGTATATGGTCTTTCATCCTTACAAACTCACTGCTTGCTCCATTGCTGATGTCTACTGGACGGCCCCACTGTGATGTCACTAGCTGCAAGGTCTCGCGTGGTCCTCTCTGATGTTCTAGCAGACCGATGGGAAGTACATCATGCTGGAATGCCGTTGGCGTTCTGCGATTTCCTGACGTAAAACGTATTCCGAGATCTAATCAAAATGTCTTTGCTTTGAAGGAGGCGGATGAGCTCCCAGTTTAAGGCTTGTACTACAGCTTGTCCAGATCTTGCTGTAAGATTGTGTAATTGGTGCGTTTGTTCCATTTAGAATGAGAGGACTGAGGCTGGGTGTGGGGAAATGTCACAAATTATCTCCAAGTCACTTTTGGAGGATGGCTCTCTACAACAGAGCAGCTCAGTAGTGCTTTTATGGGAAGACTTGAGCCTAATGCCAGCACCAGAATATAGCAGAATGTGTTAAAGAATTCACAACAAAGTGTGGCAGAATGCTAATAATCCTATTATTCAGGTATAGCTATGTCTATGGTGGGAAAAGCTATATTATTCAAATAAGTAAGCTTGAAGATTGTTGAGAATAACAATTGAGTTGACCATAACGATTCCAGTCATTGAATTTTACCATATTAAGACCTCTCTTTGTCTATGGACAGATATTCTCCAATGAAGGGCTGTTTAGGAGTCGGTTTGGGGTAAGAGGGCGGTCTCCCGGGCAACTGCAGCGGCCAACCGGTGTGGCAGTGCATCCCAATGGCGACATCATCATCGCTGACTACGACAACAAATGGGTCAGCATCTTCTCAGGCGACGGGAAGTTCAAGGTAAGCTTGTCCACTGTGGCGTGATGCAGTTGTAGAGCCACGGTGATTGAAACCTTTTCAACTTTTCGCTTTTAACCGACAGTCCAAGATCGGCTCGGGAAAGCTCATGGGACCCAAAGGGGTGTCGGTGGACCGGAATGGGCACATCATCGTGGTGGACAACAAGGCCTGCTGTGTCTTCATCTTCCAGCCCAACGGCAAGATTGTCACCAAGTTTGGTAACCGTGGAAATGGAGACAGGCAGTTTGCAGGTACACTTGTTGGTAATGTGTGAACCCATTTATTTCGGTCTGCATGCCAGGCTTGAGCAGCATGGTCAACTCAACCCAATTCTCTTGCCCCATGACCTTCCACTAGGTGGCGCCCTGCACATTCCACATTTGAAGTGTAAACGCTGGTTAACCATTCTTCATTGATACGTGAATGTGCATGTGTTTCCTGCACAATGAGATCTATTTGAGAGGTCATGAATGTGCTCTAGTATATAGTATAAAAAGTGTTGACAAAAGGGATCAGACTTTAGTACAAGAAATGGGTACATTTACTGGCAGAATCAGTTGAGCTGTATATACACTTAAAAAACGTTAAGCACCCAGAAGTAATGGTCCGATTTCGATGTAATTTGGTGCACGTGCAGACCAGCGATGGGTATGTAAATGATTTGATTTGCAAGGAGCTGGCACGTCTAGTCACCAGAGGATGCCTCGTAGACGCATTAGACAGCATTACCAGCACTTGACGGAGTTTGATGGGGTCGCGTTGTGGGTTTGCATGAGGCTGGGTGGTCGTATCGTGCAATTGCCCGCCATGTGGGGCATGCAGATGTCACAGTCAGCCGACGTTGGAGCCAATGGGCACGTGAGGGCACCCACACACGTCGTGATGGTTCCGGTCGCACAAGACACAGGCCATACCAAGGGAGGATCGCCGCAATATCCACCAAGCATTACAGAACCCCATGACACCTGCGTCTGCCATCCAGACACAGGTATTGGACTCTCTACAACACCCCGTGTCATCCCACACCGTGTCTCAACGACTGGCATCATCCGGACTACAGGTTCACCGTCCCATGCGTAGGCTGCTGTTAGCACCAGTGCAGAAACGGCTGTGTTTGGAGTGGTGCTGTAACCGGGAGGCATGGACTGATGACGAGTGGCATCGTACCATGTCCAGCGATGAATCTCGGTTCTGCATTACCCTGGATGACTGTCGTGTGCATGTATGGCGGCACCGAAGGGAGAAGACCAATTTTGTGGAGAGACGCATCGCCGTTACCCCATGGCATCATGGCGTGGGGAGCCATAGGGTATGACTTCAGGTCATCTCTGGTAGTGATGTGGAGGGCCCTGGCAGCACAGCGCCATGTCGGTAACATCTTGTGTCCGCATGTCTTACCACGTTGCTGTCTCAGGAGAGGTATGGTTTTTCAACAAGACCATGCCCATCCACGCATGGCACGTGTGTCTATGGACTGCCTGCGTCGTGTTGAGGTCCTCCAGTGGCCAGCCAGGTCCCCCAGTCTTTCCCCAGTTGAACATGTGGGATCAGCTTGGATGTCAACTCAGACCCAGTGCCAATCTGCAGGATCTCGAGGGCCAGTTACAGCAGCTGTGGGCCGACTTGCTGCAGGAGAGGATACAACGGCTGTATGACTTCCTTCCACCCCATATCACCGCATGTATCCAGGCCCGGGGGGGGGGGACCTTTCACCACGTGCAGATTCCACCAGTCTGGGTGCTTAACTTTTTTTGTCACTGGGTGTATATTAGGTCACATTTGGTCTTGCAAAAATAAAAAGGTCTTCATCAAATTCACTTAAATTTATAACCTGCTTTTTTTGTAGGTCCTCACTTTGCAGCCGTCAACAATAATAATGAAATAATTGTCACTGATTTCCATAACCATTCTGTGAAGGTAAGGATATTTCTATAGAAACTGATTTGCTGTAAATGATAGCCGTGTGTGTATCTGATAAGAATTGTATTGCATTTTCTGTCTTATTGACACGCACAGGTTTTCAACTCTGAGGGGGAGTTTCTACTGAAGTTTGGGTCCAACGGTGAGGGGAACGGCCAGTTCAACGCCCCCACCGGTGTAGCAGTGGACATCAACGGCAACATCATCGTGGCAGATTGGGGCAACAGCCGAATTCAGGTGTGCCCCATACTCTTGATTTTTACCCGTGTTGCCTGTAATATTGCCAGTCATTTGAGACCTTATTTTGGATAACTACAGCATTTACAGTTACATTTCACTTATTTAGCAGGAACTTTTATCCAAAGTGACATGCGTTTCTGGAGAAAGTAGGATCAGACAGTCCTAACCGCCCCAAGTGGTGCAGAAAACATCTACAGCTCTGCAAAAATTTGTAAATTACATTTATTTATTGTATGCTTTCGTTCAAACCACGCGCAACTGAGAAGGCGAAGTCAGCCTGTCCCCGGTGCATTTGGGTGTTAAGGCCCCAATGGTGACATCACCCTTCCAACCATGGGATATGAACCACTGACCTTCTGATCACAGGCACAGTGTCTTAGCATAGTTAGCCACACGTCGCCCCTCATTTATTAATACAATGATTTACTGTGATTGGAATTGAAGTTCCTTGTTCATGCGTGACCTTGTCCACTGATGCAGGTCTTTGATGGCAGTGGGTCCTTCCTGTCCTACATCAACACGTCGGCGGATCCTCTTTACGGCCCGCAGGGCCTGGCTCTCACTTCAGACGGCCATGTTGTAGTCGCGGATTCCGGGAACCACTGCTTCAAAGTTTACCACTACCTTCAATGACCCGTGACGTACCCGTCACGCCTCACTGTCACCGTGCCACAATGGATCCCTGTCGTCCTCGTGGATTCGCGTCATCTCTCTCCAGCTCTGCTGGCTGATGACCTTTCACCTCTGACCCCCCTGTCACTCCCGCGCTGAGGCAGTCTAATGCTGCCCAGACTTTTTTCCCCCCCCCATGGAGCAGAAAGATGATGTCTTGTTATCGATGATTATCTAAGTGTTCCTTTTCCTGAGTTTATTTATTGAGCCGACCATGTAAAATACACCATTTTACGTGAAACTGAAAATGAAGCACTTGATGCGATAGCTTTGGTGTAGCGTTACCCTTTTGAAAACTGTGGGTAAGGAAAATGGATATGGTTGGTAAGTGTGGCACTTTTTGAGGAATATATTTTGTTCATGACTAGTTTTCTAAAAAAGTATATTTTTGGAATTAAACTGCCATCCTATTGAGGGAGCCCCCTGTGATGGGCTCTAGCTGCCCCCCCCCCCCATTACCATGACAGGGATAAACAGTTAGAATATGGATGGATGTAAGGGATTTAAAATTCATTTTGCTTAATGATTCACATGCATGACATGTAAACACTATGCAGATCAGGCAATAAGTTTCAGTTGCGTACTTCAGTTTCTGGTAAAATGCTCTTACTTCCTTTAGTAAGAAGGAGAAATGGTGGTTCCGTAAATGTTCATATCCACAAAAGTATTTATCTGTGAACTAAAGATGTTGGATGCCTCGGTGTAGTTTTTGCTTGTACTTGGATTGACGTACGTTTTGTCCAGTCAGGAAACATTCCCTCAGTTTCCATGGGAAGGTGTGTGTGTGTGTGTGTGTGTGTGTGCTTCATGAAATGTGTCTTGCTCTGTAACTGCCCATCTGTCTACCGTGAAGCTAGATGTATACATTTTTCAAAGTACTTGCCGCTCTGCACACAATAACTGATTATCATGCTTGCCGTTGACGTCTAGTTAGATTTGTTTTCTACAGCTTGTCGTAGGATTTTATTTCTAACAACACAATCAATGATTCTTGGCATTGCTTGCAAAACCAGCTCAACATGTATTGTGGTATTCAAGGCGCCATTGATGTTTTTCTGCTTGCCGATATATTTGCACAGGATACAGATTTTTGTACTGTAAGCCTTGCAGAACTATTGTAGAACTGTGTGGCGTGATTCCGTCGTAGTGAAATTATCCAAGTTGTATGTAAACTGGAGCAAATCGGTTTTATTTTTCATGTCAGCTTGAAGAGACTTTTATAAAATGATCTGGGCGATTCGGTGATGTCCGTGCTGACTTGTATCATGTTAATTTCCTGCCTAACAAAATACCCACATTTCAGTGACTGAACGGCACTTAGTCCAAATATTAGTATTAAAGAGCACAAGGCATTGATGAGAGTGAATCGTGGCATTAAACGATCCATGAAACTCTAAACCAACTGTGTTTACTTATTTGAAAATGTCAGTCTCAAAAGGGATTTTCTTTCATGTAAAATTTATTCATCTTTATTTACAAATGAATTACTGATTTTTTATTATGATTAAAGCAATGCATTTTCCATGTTTAATGTCCCTAATGCCAAAAAAGTTGAAAAAGTTACCCAGGGATGATTTGTTTTGAATTAATTTTGAATGCAGTTTTGTTCTGTAGAGGGAATATTTTGCAATGGATGTTGTACAAAGGCTTGGGATTATTTAATTGTTGTATATTATCCCTCAAACATCAGGATCACTTGTGCATTTTTTCCCCATTTATATTTCCAAATGTCTAGCATTGTTATTTATGCAAAGGGGGGAAAGTCAGTCTTTAAATGTATGTATTCCATAATGCTTTTGTACTGACACAGGAAGCACTGAGAACTAACCGAGTTGTGGTGTTTCTTGTCCCAAATATGCTTGCTGTGTATAAAAACATTGCTTGTGCCCATTTAAGCATTACTTTCATTTCGATTTAGCTACTTGTCTGTGCGGCACATAAATAAAATATTGCATTCTTTGGAAAAAACACTTTCTTTTGCTTCGTTTTTAATCGATTGTGCTGATCACGGATCGCGTGGCCTTTCGACATTTCAATACTGCACGTTAAAACATGGCTGTATCGTCACATGTTTATTACTGCGCAGTCTGCGTGCCATCGCCGTCGTCCGCCAGGGGGCGATAGAAGTCCCTTCCGACGTTAGCCCCGCCCGCTACGCAGCCTTTTAGATCGCGGGAAAAATCAACGTGTCTGGCGGAAGGGGTGATTTGGAAAACGCCTGTTTGTGGGAAGTTTAATATACAGGCATTATGGTAAGACAAATTTCTATTTGCACTATTTAATGAACGCGGCAAGGTTCTGCCTGTCCGAGCAGAAGGACTTAGTCCTTGCGTCGATCTAAGGGACAGATCAATGCATTTCTCAAAGTAGGCAGTGAGTTAGCACTGGCTGCGGCGGATTCTCCAAGACACGAGTGAAATGGCTGTTAATATGCGCTTAATGATACTGACCTGCCTTCTGCGGGATATTTGCGTTTCTTTGACAGTCCAAGAAGAAGGGATTGAGTCTGGAAGAGAAGCGGAGCCGGATGATGGAGATTTTCTTCGAGACTGTGAGCACCTAGGGGCCTTGATCTGCTGCATGAATTGATCCTAACTTGAATTGGTTGTGGGAAACACTAAGGGCTCAAGCAGGAAGTATAAATGGCAGTTCTGAGCAAAGCACATAAGCCCACTTAACGTTTTCTGGTGGAAAAGTAACGTAAGCTATATAACGAAGGACATTTCGGTACTTAAGCAAACTCATCAAATACCTGTCAACCTTCTTTTCTTTCTCAGGATATGTTTTGCCTATTAGTAGTAGTGCATGGGACCTGATGATCCCTTAATGTTAGGTTTGGCGTTTAATTAAAACCAGGGTTTTTTTTTCTCTGACAGTAAATTACATACATATATAGAGGGTTTAGAGGAAGAACCGTAATTGCTATATTTGTTGCTAAATTTAACAAGACATCTTGGCGGTTTCTTTGCCATTTTAATTTTCCATATTTTTAACCGGCATGAATTCAAAATGTTTTTTTTTTTAATAGCGGAATGTATAAGCAGACACAAGGGGGCGCCATTTTACCAAAGAGCGCGCTATTAGTTCTCAAAACCCGCCCCGGATACAGAAGCTACCGATTACTCTGGCTCGGCAGCTCGATCCTGCTTGGCTGCCGTCCTGGGAGTGCTCTCTGACTGCTCAGGAGCAACAGACTGTATGCCCCCTTGGGTCTGCCCTGTGGGGGATTTGCCAAAGCTTTGAAAAAGAGCCTCTCATTTTTGAAATGTTACATTGTGACTGCTTAGAGCAAAGCTTGGCTTCTCGTGCGATGCATTATTTATGTGTGACTTACCATCTGAACATGTCTTTGCGCATTGCAGTGAAGCGCAGTGTGTGTGTGTGTGTGTGTGTGTGTGTGTGTGTGTGTGTGAGAGAGAGAGAGAGACAGAGGGAGAAAGTGAAGGCTTGTTTTTCTTTCCCTTTGTGTGGGTGTCATCCAGCTGTCAGTACGCGGCTTGCTTAGTGTGCCGGTTTCTATAGCGTCATGAAATAACAGCCTGTTCGGCCTCCTAGAGCTTTTTGTTCTCATGGATGCCTAAATGTACAGTGTAACCGTTATTTCATTAATTCGCTTGACCTCACTCTCTTGTAGAAGGATGTCTTCCAGCTCAAAGACATTGAAAAGATTGCCCCAAAGACCAAAGGAATCAGTAAGTGTAGTCTCATTAGTCTTGTACTTAATGTCTGGAGTGTGACACTGCGTCCCCCCCCAGAAGGGGAAAGACAGACGGGTCCTTTCGGTATGATGCAGTAGACCTTCTGATGCGTTTTCGTGACAGTGGCTGAGCCACGCATCTCAGCTTCCGTTGCGTTGCTTGGGGCTCTCAGGTAAAAAGGGCAGCCTGTTCATCTGGCCCATTGGCTTGTCTGTTCTCGTCTCCGCCTCCCTGTCCAGACCAGGGGCCTGTTTCAGGAAGCAGGATTTCTTGGTTAGCCGGATAAGTTGTCAGATTTAAGGTAGTCTGGGCTAAATGGGCTTTATCTTTGTTCACTTATATTTACCCCAGACTACCTTAAATCCAACAAGTTATCCAGCTAAGCAAGAAACCCTGCTTTGTGGAACTGGCCCCAGACCAGGACATGGAGGGTAATCCTCAAGGCAGCAGAAAGCAAGCTCACCCTCTGGGGTCTTGGCCGCCGCATTGGCCTTCACGCGCCATCTTGGAATGGAATAGCTACTTAATCGTCATTCAGAACATACACCGGTTAGTGCACATCAGAACGAAATTACGTTGCATTGACTCGCCATCGGCCTAGCAGAGTGTATTAATACTAAAAATCTTACATTTTTAAAAATATAAAATCTAAATAGAACATAAGTAGAAAGTAGAGCGTAAAGTGGAATTAACAGGATGTTTCCCTCAGCGCGGTCGGGTGCTGGGTCGCCAGGTTCACGGGGAGCACGGAGTTTGGGTTTACGGAGTGTCTGTGTTTCTCAGCATTTCTCAAGTTTGGCATTAAAGGGTTAAAAAAAATCACCGGCAGGCATTCTCCTTTGAGCTGATATACGCCGCAGAAGTGAGAAGGGATTCATTCTTGATGGTGCACCTCCCTATGATTACACCGTGTCACACTGACAGTAGCCTGAGGTAGTGTGGGCTTGCAAAATAGCACAATTGCACACATTTTGTCCCCTTTTGCTTCATTGAGACTGGGTGAAAGCGGATTTTTTTTTTTGTGCACTTTTGATTAATTTAGAATGACCTACCAGGAAGTTTCAGTGGTTTTCCGGTTCTGAAAACAGGAAGTCCCTTAGGTCCGGGTACCTCCCCTGTCCCGTGAGATGTTCTGGGCACAGATCTGTGGTTCCTCCCTCCCCCAGCACCCATGTCTGTGAAGGAGGTCCTTCAGAGCCTGGTCAATGACAACCTGGTGGACTCGGAGAGAGTGGGCACCTCCAACTATTACTGGGCCTTCCCCAGTAAGGCCGCGCACACCCGCAAACGCAGGCTGGAGGAGCTGGAGAAGCAGGTATCTCACCGTGGTGGGGGGTTCGAGAACTGAGGTGCAGGTGCGTCTATTGTGGCAAGCTCACCCAGGGGGGAGGGGCGATCGGATAGGTGATCAAGTTACACTTTCATGCATCTGCAGATATAGCGTCATGTGTGAAGCATGCGGCAGATGCGCAAAGACGAAGCAGAGAAAAACAACCGCTCCCCCAAATGCATCTCGCTGTTTTGCTGGACAGATTAAAAAATGGGGTATAAACATTGATTGTCCAGGTGGATGTGTAATTTTTCCCCCCCCCCGGTTATAAATAGGCTTTTATTTATGTCATTTTTCACCCTTCTGGAATCTGTACAATGGCGAAAATGTCACCCAGAGAAGAGTGTGAGCGTCACAGGACTCACTTCTCCAGATACAAATCAGGCCTTTGGACGACGTGCCCCGGAAGGCCTGCCTTTCCTCACGACCCACCGATCGCTGTGGCCCATAGGCAGGGCAGGTTCAGACTTGCGTCCACTCGCTGTTTGCATCCCCCCCCCCCACAACCCTGACAGATGCATGCAGGCACATTACACAGATAGGCTGGCATCCCGTCGGAATCCTGTGACATTTGGCGTTGACACGCTATGGCTAGATGGTAATGCAGAATAAAACCTGCAGATTGTGTGTGTGTGTGTGTGTGCATGCAATATAAGTGCAATGTGTCGAAGGTGTCAATGCTTCCAGCTCTCAGAAGGGAAGCAGCGGAAGATTGTTCTGGAACAAGCCATTGAGAAAGCCAGAGTGGGCCGTCAAGACACAGTGAGTCATTAATCGGACATATTCCTCTATTTTCTGCCTTTAATGTACAGTACCTGCACTGTGAATTAACAAGGCATTAAATTACTTTTATGAAATGTTAAGAAGGAGCATGGTACAGGGTGAGGGAATGGGGGGGGGGGGTAATTAGGGGCAATAAAATGTGCCGTCCATTGTGGGAGCGGAGATGAGACGGGAACCGGGCCCTGTGGCCACTGAGGGCCAGAACCGGGGGGAGCGGGGAGGTGCTGAGTCCCACGCCTGTGGCCTCCTGCAGGAGGAGCGTTCCAGCCTAACGAGGGAGCTGCATTCTCTAAGGGAGCAGCGGGGGCGTTTGCACGCCGAGCTGGAGACGTACCGGGAGTGCGACCCGGAAGTGGTCCAGGAGATCCGTGAGTACAGCACCCCACAGACGGCTCCCGCACAGATTCCACGTACCCCGGCATACATAGTACAAATAAAGACATTCCGTTCCTTAATGGCTCAGGCTGATGCATGTTCGATTCTGTGGAGGTTCTTGCCGATGTGATTCGGTTATAATCTAACACTCTGAGAGTGTTAATCCGGCGGGTCATGTGACTTTCACAGGTCATGTGACACGTCTATGTAGAGGCCCCGGCCTTTGAGTCACATTAGCGATTAGCGTGATGATTTAAACCACAGAGCCTTATCGGGTTCCTTGTCAGATTCCAGGGCCGCCTCGTGCTTGGGAGGGGGTGTAATCGGGTTGGCTGCAGCTGAAGTTCAGGCCTGCCTCTCCTGGATACCTGGGCGCTTGCATATGTTCGCGGTGCCGCTGTTGCTGCCAGCTTAGCTGTTCGCCAAGTCGGCGCACGGTGGACAGTGGGAGCCCGGCTAATCGTATGGAGGACTGGCAGAGTGCCCGTCTGCCGTGGGTGATTATGGTCCAGGCAATGTTTGGTACTTAAATCGGGCCTTAAATTGACGTGTCCCCTCCCTTCCCCCAGACCTCCTGCCGGGCATATATAGAACGGCACGGAAACGGGGATGCTAAATTTAGCCACCCCCCGCTACTCGGGCCTCCCGCTATGCTGGCATTCTGAGTGTTGTTATTCCTCTGAGATCATGTGTCAGATATGCCCAAGCCCCCCCCCCCCCCCCTACTACCATTCCTGAACCGGGCAGTGGGTCCCCCTCCACTCTTGACTTTCACGGCGTGAGGAGTGTGGATCCGTCTGGACTTAGCACGTAAAATCGGACCGCTGGCTCCACCTCCACTGTGATAATGGGCAGACGCTCTCAGGTTTGGGACGTTTTTAGCGTGTCGTCATTGCCCCCCCCCCACCCTCTCCCCCCATTATCTGGCACAGCAGATGCCTGGTTTTTCTTTGGGGAAGGGGGGGGAGTCCTTGCCTCCAGGCCAGTGTCAGCCCTGTACATTGTAATGTACTTCTTATGGTTTCTTTAAAATAGTGTTTCCCAATTCGGTCCTCGGGGACCAACAGCCGGTCAGTGTTTTTGATATCTGAGGGTCCCCATGAACTGCGTTAGGAAACACTGTATTAGGGGGTTTCCGGTCTGTTTTTGGAGGTGGAGGGGACAGGGAATACTTTGCGTCTTCACTTCGTCACACTTGAAGTCACACGGCAGACTGCTCAATGACGACCCCCCCCCCCTTTTTAAAACTCTGGAAGAAGTTGTTGAATAATTTGCACAACGTCTGTTGTTAAATAAGGCTTTGAGGCATTTTTTATGTGTGTAGGTGTGAGGGCCTTTTTATGTAACTCTGTTTTGAAAAAAATGTCTCTTGATACCAGTCCGATCACTGGATGCCTCATGCTGTGGGGAGTGGCGCAGTGTTGAGGGAGTGTTCAGTGATATTTAAGGGGCAGGGATATGTGTATAAGGGGGGGGCGTGGCTTGTAGGTGAAGCCCCTCCCCCTAGCAACGTGACGCTTACCAATCAGTCAAGATGACAGTATTTGGGTAGAGCTGTCAGATACGGGACACGCCCCTTTGAGGTGGCTGGCGATTGGAGGGCCGTCTTGTGGAGTGAATGTTTTTGTGGCTCTGGTTAGCTCTGCATTGTTATTGACTTATGTCCCTGCTTGCCTGGACTTGTCCCTAGGCTGCGGGTGAGAGTTACCCATGTCAAGGTTGCTCTGTAAACCTTCAGAGCCAGAGGGCCTCTGAATGTGCTATTCCTAGTCGCCAACGAAATCGGATCCGGCGATATCTACCTTTGTGATGTCGCCTAGTTGGGTCGCTCCTTTGTCGTTTACTATATTCCTACTCTCTCACCCCACCCCCCCCCCGCAAAGATCCACCGCCATCAGTAATTGAGTTTAAACATGGCCAGCTTTCACCGGCAGGCCCAACATCCCCTACGCAACCTGTGAAGTGGACCGTTGTGTTCCCATGGTAACTGCCGTTTGCCCTGAACTCTTGCAGTTGGCTTGATTTCATTTTGGCGAGATGCTATTGAAACAAACAGTCTTTCTTAGGCGTGGCTGCAGGCAACTGTGCATCCTGCGGGTGGGAGTGAAGGATTGCGCCCCCCCCCCCCCAGACTGATGTCGTGAGGGGCCGGGATCCCTTTTGGGACAGGGGTTCCAGATGTTGTACTGCACAGTCGCCCCTAATACATAG